CTCTACCGCAAGCTGCGGTGACTTGTCAGTAGCCGGAGACAGTCAAATGCCGGTCTCAGCAGAGGTGGCGAACCGCCCTGTCTGTCGTCACTCGACCGCTTCGCCGTCAGTAGCGGGCGGGGCGCTGCTTCTTCACAGACTCTCCGTTATATGCTCGTTTCGCCGTCGGTAGCGGGCGGAGCACTGCTTTCTTCACAGGCCAGCTGCTGGGTCTGCTGTGGCAGCGTGCCGTTGACAGATCCAGCTGCAGCGGGGCGCGGTTCTGCCACCAGTGACAGATCCAGCCTCTGCCGGCGTGGTTCTGCCATGGCAGCGGCCGCCGGCACCAGTGATAGATTTGTGTAGTTCTGCCAGGTTCTGCCGTGGCAGCGGCCCTGGCATCAGTGACAGATTCGTGCAACCAGCGGCCGCCGGCACCAGTGACAGATTCGTGCGGTTCTGCCGTGGCAGCGGCCGCCGCCCAGGTGATAGATTCGTCTGCCGCCGGGCGCCGACAGCGCTGGATGTAAGCAGCATTCAGCGGTCGGTTGGAGCCCGGCCGGCCGTGCGGTCGGCCCCCCGCCGACACCAGTCAACCGCCGACGGTCGGGGACGGTAACACTGGCCGCAGTTCAGGGGCGAGACGAATGGCTGCCGGGGGTGGCAGCCCCGCTGGCTACCAATCACTGCCGCCCACCGGCTACCGATCAACTGGCAGGGTACGCTGACAGGCCGGCGGCCTCCAGAAGTGGCAGACAGGGCTACACTCTCTGGGCATAGGACGAGGTGACTGGCAGGCAGACAGACATTCACAGAGGAAATGCCGATAGAGGCCAATATTGTGGAAACGGTGCGCCACTGTCCGAATGAATATGAGCCGCAACGGGAATGTTCCAGCTTAGAGCCGAGGGGGAGTGTCGAGCGAAGGGTTTTGCTAAAGCGGATAAACACAGATACCACCAGTCTCATATAACAGCCACAGCCACTGCTAAGGTTAGAGCTGCTCCATTACAGAATACAGGCTTCACAGAACATCCAATCGAGTCGCAGTCAGAAACAGATTACACTCTGTTACGTCAGTATCAGTCAATCACGGCTATAACACTAACAGCAGACCATTGACACCTTAGAACATAAACTGACACCAACATACGTCCATTGACACAACTGACACTGTGGAACGTGATGTCCCATGCAATGACCAGGAGACACCACAGACATCCAAATCACTGTCGACGTCCAGCCGGAGACCCAAGCCGGCTCATTCCTCACATGCATGCATACCATGTTTCGAACACTGGAATGTTCGAAAGTAATCAGACAGCAGAAATCGACTGCACTAAACGCATATCGGTGATGATATCTGAGTTTCAGGGTGCCCGAACTAAGTTCATTGGCGTACACTGATCACACACTGAAACAAAGTGCAGAGATCAACTGTGTTGGTTTAGCCTGCAGTGAGCTAACCATTTGTTCAGCGATCACCTGGTTGTAAACACTGAGACAAGGCCACATCTATTGTGATGGTGGAATTATGCTGCTCCACACTGAGAAAGAACGACAATCATGCTGACACCAACAAAATACTACAACAACCATGCCAACAACAGAAGATAAACAAAAATGTGACAACACACGTGGACACACTACAGAGAGCATGCAAGACGTGGAGAGAGCCCTACTTTGGCCTGCAGGTCAATGAAGTCCACATTGAGAACAATGTCAGCCGGCTTGGACCCGTTTCCATTTCCGACTCCTCTCCCAGCTCCCGTTCCGATTCCTTGTCCAGATCTAGCCACGGCTCCTTTTCCGGCCCCAGTCACGGCTCCTTTCCCAGCACCGGTCACGAACTCTTTTCCAGCTTCAGTTACGGTTACGGTCACAACCCTGGCACTAGCACCACCAACAGCACCAGCACCAGCAGCAGCACCACTTGCAGTTGCCGCCCCAGCCCTAGCCGCAGTTCGCGTCTGAGCACAAGCAACAGGCGCACTAGCTGTAGCTGCAGCTGGCGTCCCAGCACCAGCACCAACTGCCGTTCCAGCACCACCACTAGCACTAGCTGCAGCTGCAGCTGCAGTCCCAGCCGGCTGCATGACTGCTGACTGCCGCTCGCCGCCCTGGCTCAGGCCGTCAGCCCTCACAGCACACAGGTTCCAGTCGGCGGCAGCCGCACCGTCCTGGCCCGGCCCGTCAGCACACACACGGAGTTCGTTCGGTCGGCAGTGGCACCGCCCCGGCGCCGGTCGCGGCGGCACTCGCTCAGCTGCCAGCCGGCACAGTCGTCAATGGAGGCGTCCCACCGGCGGCGGCGGCGGCGGCGGCGCGGCTCGAAATAGCGCCCGCGTCGGGAGGAGCGGAGACGACGCGCGGCGCGGCGGCGGCGGTGGCGGCGCGACATAAACATATGACAAAACACGGACCGGACCGTATAACCACTTCTAGATGGAAACTCTGATGGTAATATCTTAGGCCGTAGAATTTACACCTCGCTCTCAGGCCTTTTTGCGTTAAAAATGTTCGCCATATAAAATATCCATCTCACCATTAAGTGTTGCTATATAGGACCGTTTGTCATCTGACTGGCTCTGTTTGTGTTCTCTACCGAGCATAAATAGAGCCCTGTCGAGTAACTTGAGGCGAGTTTAGTTTACTGCAGCGTCACAGCAGCTTGACGCCCAACGTAAACTCGACTGAGAGGTGCAGAAATAGTCACAACAGCTGCATTTCGAGCGTGGGACGAGCCGTGACACCTCCAACAGCTATCTGTGGCCGCTTGACGGCCCGTCAGGGTGGACATTCCCGCAGCGAACGGGACGATCAGCGGCCAAGAGGTGCGTGGGGGAGTACTGGAGGGCGACTCCGCCACAGCCCCACCGGCGGCGCAATCACCGACAGGTAAACAACGGAACGACTGAGGAAGCCGGGGGAGGGACTAGAGAGGGGAGGGAGATCGATAGGTATAAATAGAGAGGGAAGAGCGCGTGAGAAATGACTGGAAATGAATGACAGACATTTACAACACGAATTTATGGAAGCACGCGCCATAAGTCACGTGTTAAAAGCACCCGGAAAACATCAATAGGAAAACGTGACTGCTGCTCGTGTAAATTTGACTCTTTTATCAAAACCTGTCTACGTGCCACCAATCACATCGAACTCGGAGCATGCCGAATATGTCAGCCACATCTACAACTCATGCTGGTGATATGGCATCCGGTTGGTGGAGAAAAGAGCGAAGAACGATCCCGCTATCGTCGTGGAGCGACCGGTTCAACCCAGACCGGCACAGGACAGAGTAGTAACGGGTCAGATTTTCCTCCACCTGTCGTCCTCCAGTCACTTGTACCATTTGTATACTCCCGAGAACACCCCGCCCCGTGACCGGCCAGCCAGCTCGTCTCCGGCCCACCCAATGTCCCTGTCACCCCGACCCAGCAGGAGACGAGCTCCCGGGGCTCTCAGTTCGCCCGCCTTCAGGGAAACACGACAGTCCGATGACGCCCGACTGACCCTCCACGACCGGCCAGCTGCGGCACCTGTCAGCCGGGCATACATACACCGCCACACCGCACACATAGCCAGGACGGGCTGGAGTCCCGCCAGCGGAGCTTGGTCGATTCCCAGATGAGTCCAGTCCAGAGTGGCAGAGTCCCATCCAGCCAGAGCAGTCCGTTCAAGTACCCTGCGGACTCCAATTAGCCTCTAGCAGAGTCCTATCTCCGGTCTGTCTCAGAAAGTCAGATCCAGCCCGGTTCCCTCTCCGCTCAGTCTCTGTCTCCTCACCAGGCCGCCCCCTGACCCCTCCTTCCCCCCTCCCCCGGACCCCCTGTCCGTCTCGGTGCCAGCGGTGACGTCACCGGACGGCCATCCGTCAGCGCGCAGTCAGCGTCGGCACGCGCCGGCCCGTAATTGGCCGGACGAACGCCGCCCCGGCCGACCGCACTCAGACCAGTGACCCCTCAGCCGACTGCATCCAGTCCCAGTGGCCGCCCCGGCCGACCGCACCCAGCCCCAGTGGCCGCCCCGGCCGACCGCACCCAGCCCCAGTGACCGCCCCAGTCGACCGCACCCAGCCCAGTGACCGCAGACAGAGAACACAGAGACAGCGGGCGATGCGAGCCGGTCAATTGGGATGAGTAACTGCAGAGTCTAGCAGACAAAGGGTGGCCTTCTTGCTCATTAAAACTGTCAACGTGGTTAGTAACGACGTGCAGGAGAGAAGACACATCTGGTCACCGCCTGTCCGCCCAGACCAGTGTCTGACCACGGAACGAAGGAGACTGACAGGACATGTCAGACAAGGTAGGTCGGTGACCTGACAGGGCGACCCCATGACCTGACAACGTAGCCATGTGACCTGACAAGGTGCCTATGTGACCTGACAGGGTGACCCTGTGACCTGGTGATGTGACCCTGTGGCCTGTGACCTGAGAACGTAGCCATGTGATATTACCGCGTGGCCCTGTAGTCTGAAGGATCGTCATGAGACCCGGTAGAGCGGTTCGGTGACCTGTCAAACTTCAAAGTGACCCAATGACCTACTAGGCCGACAAGGCGACCCACAAGACATCCCGGTGAGTCCGCAGTTGCCAGTCCAAGAAACTAGAGCGGGCCATGAGCCACACAGCGATTGAGGTTCGACACAGAGCCAGAGCCGCGGGGCCAGCAAACGTCAAAGCACCTGAACTTATCAACTGGTGCCAACAGCGCAACGACCCGAAAACAGCCCGAGGAGAGGAGTATGACCCAGGCTCTGCATCCAGCCAGTACTCAGAAAACACCTGTCGACATTTGGCGGACCGAACCTGACGTCATCCCAGCTAGTAATGGGATTTATTTACCGATAAACAACCGCTCAATCTGTGGAGGTGACCGAACGACCCTGCGTAGGTGTCGTAATCACCGTCATAAACCGCGGCTGGCTGCCGCCGCCAAACGACCGGAGCTCTGCGCCCCTCCCCTGCCTCCCTGCCCTCCGCCGGTCGGCCCGCCCGCGCCGGTCGGCCGGTCCCGCTCACCTCCATGTGCGACTTGAGCGCGTGCCAGCGGGCGCGCAGGCCGTCCAGCTTGCGGCGCAGCGTCTCGGCGCGGCCCACGTCGCGGCTATGCAGGCCATAGACGAGCGTGTCTCCGCGCGAGATGAGTGTGGCCACGTCGGGCTGCAGCAGCGACACCGCCAGCTGCGCCGCCTGGTGGACAGCCGCACAACCTATAGTTGCACGCTCGGCCACAGGCGGCACCGGGTCGAGCAGACACAAACACGCAGGCATACACAAACTAAACTATAGTGACAGCTAAGCACGATTATCGAGTATCCACTCACGAGCAATACTGCTAATCCACATCTAGTTCATGACCAATAAAACAAATCAAAACAGCGTATCAAGACAAGTTATTTAAACACATGCTTGGTGCATATATGTAAAATAATGTAAATGTTGCAAACGGCGCGGTAAGGAACTTTACCAACTGCTTACTTCACACAAATGGCAAGGCCAACAAACTATATACTTTCAGACAACTCTTTAGTTTAGATCGACCACACCGAGGGCAGTGCAGTGACAAACCATCAGCGGCAGTCTGTGTGTGTTAGCAGACAGTGTGTGTGGAACAGAGACCCCCGGCTCACCTCGATCTCGCTGTGCCGGCGGGCGGCCACCTTGGGCTGCCTCTCCATATCCGCCTCCACGGCGTCGATCCGGCCGATGCATGCGTCCACCTCGGCCACATAGGCGGCCACCTCGTCCTGACCGGCGGCCGGCGCGGGCCCCTCCACGGCGTACCGGTTCGCCAGGACGCCGGCGCCGCTGGTACGGTCGGCAGGGGAGGAGCGCATCCGATCGCTGCTGCTGCGGCGCGCCGACACCGCGAACTGGTTGGCGATGACTTCTGGGGAGGATTCGAGCGCCACCGACCGCTCGGGCGTGCGCTTCGGCGGTGCATTCTTGGTTGTGGTGGTTGCCGGTGTCTGGCCCTGGTAGGAGAGGGGGTCGCTGGTCAGCGCGGGGGCATTGCGGGCTAGACAGGGGACGACACATAGGGTGTGGGGGAGGGTCACTCAACCGGTCACTGTGTGAGTCTAACAGCACAGCTATTCGGGTGGACGGACGGACGGACGGGCGGACGGACGGACGTGGGGCTGCACAGCACGCGTCTGCAACTGGGGGGGGGGGGGGGGGGGCTGTGGGGCGCACGGCGGGCGGCCGGGCGGCGCGGCGCGGCGGTCACCGTACCTGCTGAGGACGCAGCCGGCGCGGCTCTCCAAAGTCGCGGTCGCTCAGAGACGAGGTGGACAGGTGCAGCGAGTCATCGGAGTCAGAGTCGGACGAGTCGGACGAGTCCGAGTCGGAGGAGTCCGAGCTAAGCACTTTGACTCGCCGCTGTCGCTCCAGCTCGGCCAGCGGAGTCACCAGGTCCGGCACAGTCGAACCGGTGGAGGCTGGCGGGCGCGCCGCGCGCGGTGAGCGCGTCATCAGGTGGTGCGGCGCGCCGCGCTGCTCCCGCATCACCTCCGACTCCTGAGCGGCCGGCGGCTCCTCAGAGCGCTGCCGAGGCGCGGCGCTGGGAGCCGGAGCCGCCGGAGCGGCCGGAGCCAGTTCTGTGATCCGGCGCAGTGCAGCCAGCTTGTCGCGCGCCGGTGGAGGAGAGTCAGTCCAGTCGGCAGGGGCGCGATCCACGCGCGTCGCAGTGAACACATCATCATCCGCTTCGGCAGCGCCGTTCGGGTCCGAGTCGACGCCGATTATCTTGAACCGCCTGGTGGCTGGTGATGTGCTGGTACGCGCCGGGACCGCTGGGGCCACCGGGGCTGTCCGAGCCGCCGGGGCCGGCGGAGTGGCCGGGGACGGCGGGGCGCCCAGGCTGCGGGAGCGCGGTTTGGGCGGCACCGGCGGCGGTGTGCGTGAGGCGGACAGCCGGCGCGGCGACTCGCGGGCGGCCGGCTCGGTCAGCTCGGTGCTGCCGGCCAGGTGGCAGCGCTCCGGGTCCTGGGCGGAGGGCAGCGACAGCCGGCCGACCGTCACCACCGCCTCCTCCAGCAGCGGCGGGAACTCGCGCAGCGGGCTGTCGCGCGGACTGAACGAGCACACCGAGCTGCGCGGGCTCCACGGGCTCGGACTTTTGTACGTGATCACCTCGTAGTCGGCGCCAGGCGCGGAGACGGCCGTGGGCGCCGGGCTGGAGCTGCTGCTGCGCCGCGCCAGGAACTCGTCACTGCGCCGCCGGCTCTTGGCGGCGGCCATGGAGCGCTGCGCGTCCGCCTGGGCGGCCATCTCGTACATTCTCTCCACGCTGCGGCGCCGCTTCCTCTCCAGGGTACTGAGCAGCTGGCGACTGTGGTCAGCCGTCTGCTCCAAACCACTGATCACATCATCCAGCACTGAGGAGGTGCTCGATTTGCGGCTCGGTGACGAGTCCTGAGCCAGAGCCGCGGCCGGAGCCGGGACCGGAGCCGCCACCGGAGCCGGAGCCGTAGCTGGAGCCGGAGCTGGGGCCGGTGACGGGTCCTGAGCCGTGACCATCTTCTGGTCCGGGGTCGGGGTCGACGTGCCTACGCTCGGCACAGCTGCGCTCGACAGGCTGCTGATGGTAGTGGTGACGGGCACGGACGGGGCGCTCGTAACCGTCGGCGGCGTCTCCACGTCCATGGTCAGGTAGGAGATGGTCACGGTGGTCTGCTCGACCTCCACGATGGTGCGCGGAGGTGTCGAGTAGGGCAGCGTCACTACCAGGCTGACGGGCGGCTCAGCCGCCAGCTCGCGCTGCTTGCTCTCGATGGTGCGCACGAACTCTGTCTGCCGCGACTGGGCCGTCGGGGCCGGCGCCGAGACCCTGCTCGCCGCTGCCGCTCTCTGCAAACAACGCACACGGTCGGAGTTCGGCCTCTTCAGAACCCAGCGGCCGGCGACCGGGCAGAGGCGACATCCAGCGACCAGGACAGACGAAGCCACCAGGCCCTCACAGGCAAGCCCGAAGCGTCCACGAAGAGAGAAAGAGCCGGTGCCCAGCGGCGTCCCAGAGGCGACCCAGCGGCCGACGGTGGCGGACCGAAGCGTTTCCCGGCAGGCAGCGACAGACCGACGACCAAGAGACCTGGCGGCGCCGCGCCGGCCGCCGGCGCCGCGTGCGGTTAGCGCCCAGTTGCAGACACGTGCCGTGAGGTGCCGCCGCGACGCGGGCCGCCCGGCCGTGCGCGCCGTGTTAGCATGCAGCGGTGGATCACGGCCGACAGTACACGGAAACACCCCGGCCGCACATGACAGCTAGTCCAGGTATCGGGGACAGGGCGCGCTATTAAGGCGAGTCTATCACACATGCTACAAAGCCACATGCCGCGTGTTGTTTGTCTGTGTGTATGTGACCGGGTGAGACCCTGTTTGTGCGGCGAGCCGCGGCCCGCTGCCGCTGAGACCCGCGCCGCCGTCGGCATGCAGTGAGTCCCGAGGTTATGCCACGCGGCGGCGGCGCGGGCACGTGCAGTGTCGCCCCGGTCGGGCCGCCCACACAGGGCGGCGCCAGGAAACACGGGTTCGGTGCAGTGCTCAGAGGCCGGATCAGAACGCTAAAACTGGCACTATCATGAGGCTAAAGGTGTTGATGTGTACGATTATCGTGTGGTGGGTTTGCACGTTTTACGCAAATGCTAACGAGCTTATAAATCGAGGTGGATATGGCACAGCAAATCTATTCTGTCAGTACGTCGCAAGTTGAGAATTTGTTACTCGTTTATAGGCGGTTTCACACTGCTACGTTGACGGTAGACTGGTGCTTGTGAAGGTCTCCGTGAAACATTTAAAGCGACTTTGCCAAACTTACGTCGTGTGTTTTCGCTCATAGTCTGATTAATCACGACCCTTTTCAAAGCTCATTTAAAATAAAACATTCATGCATTTGTAATTGTTAGACAGAAAAGTGCAACAGACTAAGCCTCAGATCAGTAGGAAAGGGAGTGCCGTGTACGTCATCATTTCAGTTGGAACAGCCTTTCCATATCACGGCCCATTTCGATAGGATCGCCGACTTCTTCGCGCAGTGGCAGGAGCCGCCCACCCGTTACGTCCGGGTCGGAACCGAGGATGCGATGACCTCATGGTGACATCTGCGGTCACTATCGGACCGACCACTGACTCGTCGGGCTCGTCGAGCGGACGGGGCGGGCCGGAAGGGTGGCCGTCATCCCGGAGCAGCTCGGCTGTCTGCAGCTGGAACAGCCCTCCCCGCCCCAGCTGAGCTCCTCCTCTCCCGGTCCAATGTCCCGACACCAGCCGCCGGACGGTCTAACGCCGCGCCGTTACTCGTCACTGCCATGTGTTATGCCGTGACGCCCGCGCCGCGGGAGGCATCCCAAACAGTCTCCGTGAGACCCTGACTGACGGAGGGATGGCGCGACACAGAGCCGATCCCATGGCCCGCCTCAGCTGCTGGCTCAGCGTGGAACAACAAACGACAGGCCACACTCGGGTCGTCCGGCACCCCGGCAGAGCCACGGTACACGACCCGCTGGACGTCAGAAAACATAGCCCGCCGAGCCGAGATACCGCAAATCGCAGTGCTGCTGCCAGTGATCGATGCCAGTCGTCTAATCAATACCGTCTGCTCGATACTGCCATTGGTCATCTGAGCGGCCCCCGGAGCTGCGGCAGGCAGTGATGCAGGCTCGGGTGACGCGCCCTCAGTGCGGTGTCGCGGCGGGCTGTCTGACGAGGGACGGTGAGCTCACCCGCCCACCGTCCGGTGCCAGCGCCCAGCAGCCAGCCCTGCAGGCGCTGACGTCCCGCGCGTGACAGCAGCGCGGGGGCGGCCGGTGATTATCCTATCGGGACATGTTTGGTGAGAGGCCGTCACGTGTGCGCTCGGCCGGCCCGGCGTGACAGCGCTGCCCCCGGCGGGGGCGGGGCGCGGCCGGCGGGAGCCGCCAGCCCTGGCCCGCTGCAGAGACAGCGGGCGGGACGGCAGCAGCTGCAGCCGCCGCCCGAGGGCGAGCTATTGCTGATAAACTGCTGCACGCAGTACGCACAGTCAGCATCAGTGGGAGTGCGCAGCGGCGCGGCGACCGTATAAAAACGGTACTCGCTCGGGGGAACAGGGCGGCCGTTCAGCGGAGAGGCGGCCGAGGAGTCGGCTTGGCGGCACAGTGCCAGCGCCGGGCGGGCCGGGAAGACCATGTATGGAGCGAGGCCGGCCGATGACCGGCACCTGTATGCTGGCGGTGGGAGGGGAGGGGGAGACGGCCGGTCTGGCAGTGCGACTACACAGCTGAGCGGCCCGCCCCCTGACTGCGGACGCATAATGTAGCGCGGGACTGACGGACCGGCACCATTTACCACCGAGACTCACTGTCAGCGGCCGGTGACAGGTCACTGACGGACCGGCCAGTGTTGACGGACTGGAGCAGCCGACGGTGACAGGTGGACTGAGACCCGTGGCAGCCACCGAGTCACATTCCCACACTGAACTCCGACAGCGAGCGAGGGAGGGGAGCGCCGGCCGGCCCCTCCCCTCAGCAGTAATCACCTCAATCAGAGATGAATCCTTCGCACGCACCACGGCAGTGAACCGCCGCTCCTTTGGCAGCCAGTTTCCTGAATCAGCACGGCACTGATCGCGGGACCAAGTCCCTCGCTGGGCAGGCCTCGTTCTCGCTGGATGACGCTCCGTCCGTCACTCCGTGACACTGTTCCTCACTAAGCGGCACTCTGTGGGTCACTGAGTCACATTCTGCTCCACATGGAGTGACACACTCTCACTCACTCAGAAGTAGCCAGGTCCTCGCCAAATTGCGCTCTTTATCTCACTGAGCGCCTGTCCCTGATCATCACTGAGCAGCACCCCTCACTGAGAGTCACTCCGTCCCTCACTCCGAACACTCCACTCGGAGTGACGTCCCGTCCCTCACTGAGTCGCACACACGCGCTCTGCCGCTCCGCCCGACCGCACCACCAGTCGCTGTACGCGGCGCCGACACTGCACTGGAGACGCGGCGCGGCCCGCTGCCGCCCCTGGACCCGCGCTCGGCGGACGGGGCCGCTCAATTGGGCGCTGTCGACGTGCGGCTGCCGCTCTGTACGGAGCGGGGCAGCCGGCGGCGGCCGGCGGGCGGTCGCTGGTCTGACACAGCCGCTACTCTGACCCGCCGGCCCGCAACGCTCCACCGTCTGCGGTTAGTTGGGTCAGGCAGCCCGCAACACCAATTTGCAGCTTTGCAGCTCGGTGTTTTATAATTTAATCCTCCCTTATTCATGGCCAATAAAATGTGACGGCAAACGCCGGGCGGAGCTGAGTTGGGATCGAGCACTGAGTGCAGCAGCTCGTTCCGGTGCCGTCCGGACCCACCCGGACGGGTGGTATGGTTTGGTCCGGGTACGGTCCGGTCCGGGAGACAACCGGACTGTCGCCTGTGACAGACCGAAAGAATAAGGACAGACATTGGCCGCGGGTCGCTGCAGAATGGTAATGCTGCAGTGTGCAGGCTGGTGACACTCAGATATGAGAGACAGGGCGCCAACTAACTCCACCCAACGCGGTGCCACACGTGAAGTATTCAGCAGAGTCCGCCGTCCGCTGAGGTGTATGGGCGGCGGCCCGGCCGGCCGGCCGGTACGACCCGTCGGCCGCGGCGGCCGTCTGCCCAGCGCTCCGCCCGCCCCCGGTGAGAGGTCAAGGACGCTATCCTGCGCGGTCGCAGTCACCGCCGGCGCCGGGCCGTGATCAGTGAGTACGAGGGACCGGTACCACAAGGCCGCAGCTGTGCCGCCGGCGCCGGGCGCCGCCCAGCGCCTCAGCATAGTGACAGACGGAGGCGGCCGGCGAGCTGCACTCACAGCATTGTGAAGTTGGTCTCAGGCGACTATCGCGCAAGTCGAATCACAGTAAAACCAAAAGTTACTCATATGTCCGGTATTGGCCCAGACAGGCCGGCGGCCACCGTACAGCTCACCCACTGGGCTGAATGGACATGAATGGACCACTGAATAGCTCGCGAATCGTGGGTGACCAGTGCTCCTCCAAAGGACGACGGTAAAAGCGGTGACGTAAAAATCAGCCTTTACCCAACTAGAAAAATTACATACGTTTTCCTATCGCTCACAATAATCAGACTTGGGAAAACCCGTCCATTGCCAGCCCAGCAACTGGTTGCCTTAAATAGCAAGCGGCTAGTAACAGGCTATAGTGATGAGCTGAATAACGACTGAGCATTAGTGACTGACTGCCCAGTGCCCAGGCTCCCGTCCAATACGCTACCACCCTATGTAGACTGGTCAACAACCCAAGCCTCTGAGGCGTGTAATGTACCCAATGCGATCAAGCAGTGACATTTAAAGCCCGTGAAAGCCGATGGACACAACAGAGCCCCATGTATCGTGCATATTGGCACCATGCCCATTGCCATCCCGATAAAACCAGCACAACACAGGTGCAACGACCCCCAGAAGACAGCGGGCGGACGAATAGCGGACGGATGACGGACGAATGACGGACGGTGTACGGACGATGGACGGACGGTGGACGGACGGTGGACGGACGAATGACAAGACGACGGACGGACGGTGGACGAATGATTTACGGACGATGGACGGACGAATGACGGGACGATGGACGGACGGACGAATGACGGACGGACAGTGGACAGACGGTAAACAACGAATGGTGGGAGACGACAGAATATGAGTCCACCCCGTGCGTAGGCGGGGAGCTAGGCTCGACATTCGACAATGTGTATAGGCACTTGACAGGCATCCTGGACAGATGGAGTGCATAGGGGAATAGCTTGAGCTAACCGTGTGTGTGTACTGTGTAGCCAACGGACGTGCCTGTGTGTGGGCAGACAGGTGGCACAGGCCCTGTGTGTAGGCAGGCAGCTGGGGCCCACACTGTGTGTAGATACGCGGTTAAAGCTAGCCTTGGGATGTAGACAGATTGCTAAAGCCAGCCCTGGATGACGGCAGACAGCTAGAGCCGACCCTGTGTGTAGGCACGCAGCTAGCAAGGCTGGCAATGTCTGTAGGCACATAGCGGACTGATGACATTCAGTATGAACGTTAGCCCATGAAACGCCTTTGTGAAATAATATGCATGCTCCTCTGAAGCTTTCAATGGACACCGGAAACCAGGCGTTAGACACTCAGTTGGTCCAATGTGCCATTCATAGCAAGCTTTGCCCAAACACGTTCTGAGAAAATGTCATATCCGACGGCTCTCCGAATTGGGAAAGCACCAAACCACTTAAAGGTTTCTAGGCAAATAAATGTTATCCTCAAAGTAGTAAAAAGTGTCCCTAAAAAAAATACATAGTCCTACGCTGTAAATGGTGAATCAACTTTTGACGTCTTTAAGCTTCAGGCATTAGAAAACGAGGTAAAAAAATCACAGGAATGATGTCAGTGAGGGAGAAACGACGTGTATCGTGTTCAATTACAGGGACTCTTTTCCTACAATGGTATGCTAACGTGGTACCTACCATTTCGTCTAAAACCCCAAGGCCCTGTTGTAAATTATAATATCAGGTTCATGAAATATATCCGAACAAGTTTCATCCAACGAAACCCCTTTTCGATTGCACCAATAGCAAGTATTTGCAGCTTTTTGTTGTACACTTTTTGCATGTTCTGTGCATGTTACAGTACACAACTAATATGTGACGCTTTGGTACAGTGACTGCTAAAAGTCAGTCTGGGTGTGGACTGTGGAGCGGTGTATTAACACCTATGTATATGCAGTGTAACAGCGGGGTCGCATTGAACCGGATACTAGCGGTTACACGCCGGGACACTGGTTGAGTAGGAGTGCAGCGGACCACAATAGCCGGATACAGATTCAGCGACACGAGCAACTAATCTGTGACTATGACCCACTGCAGCCGCAGTGACAGTGGAACGTTGACTGGTGGAAAGGCAACTGTGAAGCAGCGACTGTGAGACGGTTAATGTGAGCCAGTGATTGTGAATCAGTCACTGTGAACCAGTGACTGTGAGCCAGGGATTGTGAACCAGTGACTGTGAGACGGCGATTGTGAACCAGTAATTGAGAACCATTCACTGTGAACCAGTAATAGACGAGTACTGCCGTGCAAAGTCAAAAACCCCTTCGTCGACTTTTCCCGGTAAATTTAATTTTACAGGAGAGCCATTTTTCGTTTAGGTGCATATGTAAATTATGGATCTGTTTGAAACTTATATCAGGGGAAGTGAAATTACAATTGCTTATAGGATCCAGTTGGATTTAACACAATTCATTATATATTTTGAAATATCTTTAATATTGGGTTCTACCAGACCGATTTTCAACAAGCATTTCAAGTCAAAAGCCAACACGTCTCCAGAAGCTGTCAAAACCCAACACGTGTGACCACCTTGGTGCAGTCAAAACCCTTTATATCACTGTAAAACTGTCAAAACCCAATACGTCCTCTTTGTGATGCTATTTGATGGAGAAGTTCAGAAAACGTAATGGATTATTGAATGAAATACCTGACATAAAAATGAATGAAATGAATGGGAAGGGCGGCGAATCCTTGATCCACCGCCGCTGGATCAAGGATTCGCCACCTGCCACTTGCCATCGTGTCCGCTGCTTTACCTATTACTCTGGGTTAGCGATGCCAGTTGCAGAAAAATCTATATCCAATGTCCGTCCAATGTCCGGCTCCGGCTTTTTCGTCGACTCTCCGTCCAAAAATGTTCAAGCGAGCCATTTTTCCAAAGATGTCCGAAAACTACACAATAATTAACATTCAGCATTGTCATATTTTAATGTACTAATACCTGCCCAAGAATGTTGATCATATCGAGAGCTCAGCTGAGCTTTCTATTTGCCAATCAATGCTGTACACGATTACTTGATAAAAATGCTGAGGTGTAGCAAGTGATCGTCCAATGTTTTCCAAAGCCTGCAACCTTTGTCCAACCAAATTTCGAATTGGACATTAGACAAGATCGGAATTCCGAAGGCCCAAGTTCCGATTGGCACCACTACCTGGGATCCCCCAGTGTGAGGGGACCCACTGCACGATCACTGGGCGGTCCGGCGCGGCGATCTCGAGGAGGCAGTTCCAGACCTCCGTCACCTGCGCCGTCCTCTTGAGCCCAGGGTCCTCCCCCAGCGCGACCAGGGTAGATTGGGAATCTGTGCAGATGATTATCGGCAGTGTGTAGTCACGAAAATGCGCTGCGAGGTGTTCCAGGGACCAGGGTCATATTGCTGTTGTTATTCCTCCCGGGCGACCTCAGGGTCGCCCGTCAGCCAGCGGCTCCAGATGGCGCCTGAAGCCGCGGGCCAAGGCCGCGACGACGTCGCCGTCGCGCAGCTGCGCAGGGTCCACATGGATGTTCCACATGGACCCAGCTGCGCAGGGTCATCGCGATGGCCAGCATCTCCGCTCTAAAACTGGAGCATAGTGCTCCTGCGGGCCTCTTCAGCTCGGTGCGGTCTTCATTGGCGTGGATGATCAGTGCACCGGCCAAGACGTGGAGGACGTCGCCAGTCGCCGACCCGTCGGTCCACAACCAGGTTGCGCATTGGGTCAATGACGCCAGGTGGTGGAGAGCGGCATCCCTCTTCGAGGAGGCGGCAGCTCCGGCTAGGAGCTCCGCTCGTATCTCCAGCATGAATGTGATTGATTGCACCAGTCGGCAGCCAGGGTGGGTTGCGCACTGGGAGCAGCGGCTCAAACGGCAACTCCACTCAGAGGTCCCGAGCCAGCAGACCTCACGACCCAGCTGGCGCCATCCGCAGACGGACTTGAGGCGCCCCGGATTTTAGGGCTCGCTTCCTTCACCTTGCTGTTCCGTGTCCATCTGACCAGGGTATCCGCCGCTCGCTTTGCCCGCCCCCGTGCAACGTCGATCTTGTTGTCCGAGCATAGTGTGGAAGTGTCCGCGAACATAAATGGCATGGTTCCCGGCAGGGCTCGGATTGCTGACGCTAGTGGTGCCGACCACAACAAAAACAAGGTCGGGTACAGGACGATGCCTTGTGGCAGTCCCGCCCTGAAGATGCGCCCGCCGCTTCTTGCTCCGTTGAGTTCAATGCAGGCCTGCCGGTCCCGGAGAAAGTCCTGCCCATGAGTTGATGCACGTCGTCGTCGGTACTCCTAAGGTACTCCCAGCTCTGCGAGGCAGGCGCGCAGGAGGCGGTGGTCCACCTTGCCGTAAACTCGTGTGAAGTCGTATGCTACGAGGACGAATCTCTGCGCCGACTCGCCGTCCGGCAGCTGTTTGGGGATGGGGGGCACGGCTTCAGCTGCCATCCGTCTTGGACTTGTTGACTCAGACGAGCGATGACGTCTTCCATGTCCGGCTTCCCTCTGAAGCCGACTTGCTCGGGCGGGACTATGTGCCGGGTTGTGTTAAGATGTTTAAGTCTGGATGCGACGACTCGTTCAGCCAGCTTGGCGATGCGGGATGTGAGGGCGATCGGGCGGTGACTTGCCACGAGCCTCTGGTCCTTCTGGTCCTTCCCCGACTTGGGGATGGGCACGATGACGGCGCGGCGTCACTGCCACGGGACCGGCGCCACGAGACATTGATGAGTAGGAGCAGCGCTCTGCAGGCCACCGGGCTCAGATGTCAGAGGTGCTCGTTGCACAGGTCATCGGGCCCTGGGGACTTCTTCAGCTGGGCACTGGAGATTTGACGCAACAGCTCTCTTCCTCGGTGAACGGGGAACAGAATCCCGTTCTGCCTCCCCTGCACTCTTTACAGGAGCCGGCTTCGGCTTCCTTCAGCTGATTCTTGGCCCGGCGATCGATGTACTTTACCTGCACCTGTCTTGATACGGAGGCGTATTTATGTATTTGCGATTGAACGCCGTCACCTTATCTCTGTTCGTCGTTAGGGTGCGACCATTGACATCCATGGTTTCGTGTTTTCTGGGGTTGTCATCAAACGCGCCCTTTCACATCTTGAGCATCTGGTTGACCCTCTTGAGGCTCTGGTGCTTGTTGAAGTCCTTCGTCACAAATTCTCGAGTGTTTCTGGGAGACACGGCGCTCGACGCGGCGCGTCTCTTGGCCTCGGTCCAGCGCTCCTTAGCCTGGGAATCGCTGTTTCGCATGGCTTTTCTCGCCCCAAGTGAGAATAGCGGGGGGTCGCGTCATTTGAACTACAGGTAAAAAAACAGCGCCTTACATCAAACCAATAATAACTTATATTTTCAGACATCTTGCAAAAAAAGTGAGGTCTCTCATGGCTGGAAGGTCAAACAAGTGGCAAAATCACATACGTTAGGAAGTCTGAGTTGCAGTATTTCTGGCAAAAGCCCACACGTGGCTCGGTAGGGGTTTTCTCGATAAATTCATCACTCAGTATTTCAAAGTAAAAACCCATTACGTCCTCATCACAGTCGTACGTAATGGGTTTTGACACTTCTGGCATGTATCCATTGATGCCAAAAGTCTACATACTTCGGAGGTTGTGAACGTAATGGGTTTTGTGGCATTTAGCCGGCTATCAAAATCCTATATTTTGGCACACCTAATGGCTTTTGCCTCGAAATTGAACGTAGTGGCTACTTTCATTGAATTCATGATGTTCGATGACTGACCTAGTAATTCCGAAAATATAAATTTTGATTTTTCTCGAAAACTATATAAGATAACACCCTACGTATTGGTGCAATCGATACACCTTGTTACAACGATCATAATGGTGTAAAAAACAAAAAATGACCCAAAATTGACGTAATGGGTTTTGACTTTGCACGGCAGAGTAGTGCCTGCTACCAGCCGGCCGGACGGCGAACTGACCTGCACCTTGTCGGTGACCTCCATCCAGCGTGTGTTGAGCTCGGACATCATACTGCTGACGCTCTGCTCACACTGAGTGAGAGCCAGCTGGGCGGCTGTCTGCTGGGCAGCGGCCAGCTGCGAGCGGCGCTCCGGCAGCTGCCGCTCCAGCTCCTGAGGGTAGATAACGACGATCAGACTAGCGGTGCGGGACACATCAGAGCAGAGGGCGACGGCGGTACTCTGAGGAGACTAGTAGTCAGAGGTAGGGCGTGTAGCTATCAGAAACGGAAAAACAGCGGCCGGAGATGACTCGGCGGCAGTCAAAGAAAAGAGTGGGAAAAGAGGCGGAAAATTACCGGATATGCAATCCGTTGGGCTAGAATACGCGTTTGTAATTCGTAGCCACGATTTGTGTCAGAATACGGGTAAGCATCCATTTCGCGGCAGTACATCACATCTGACGTTCGGCGCTACACCAGATCCGGGGGAGGCGGGCTTCTGACCTGCGCCTTGCCGCTGTCTTCTGCCGCCTTCTCGGCGTCCTCCAGCCACTTGTCCAGGTCGCTCAGGTCCGACTCGAAGCTGGCCAGGCGCGCATCGCTCGCCTCCTGCTTCTCCTGTGGGACAACGAAAGGGGGAGGAGTCATACGACGGGTTACTGGGCCGGGGGCCCCGCATTTGCTTTACCCGCGCAAACAGGTTCCTGACGGCTGAGTGGTCAGAACAGATGGCGCTGGCAGTTGCGACGTAAGAAGGAATTTGGGTGAAAAAGCTGCCCTTTCGATTGGAGAGCAGATTAAGTATTTAAGGAAGAAGAGAATGAACAAAGACATATTAAGCCCTCTAGTTTCCGTCGTCAGCTGTTTCGCCGCTCTTTCTCACCTGCACCAGCCGGGCCCGGTCGGCCAGTCGCGCCTGCAGCCGCCGCCAGCCGTCCCGTGCCTCGGCCAGCCTCCGCTGCAGGGCCGGCGCCGCCGCATCCGCCTCGCCGAGCGCGGCCAGCGCCGTCTGGCGGCGGGACGCCTCCTCCGACAGCCGTCGGCAGGCGTCCGCCTCGTCCGGCCAGCGGCACTGGTCGCCGCGCGCCTCAGCCGCGTCCAGCTCGGCGGCCGCCTCAGTCAGCCACTGCTCCAGCGGCGGCAGACGGCGGGCGGCGCGCAGACGAGCCTCCAGCGCGCACTTGGTCTCCGGCACGCGGCAGCCGAGCTGCGGGGTAGGGACGACAGTTACTGGGTCTGTCTCCAACGATCACACGGACGCCCAGCCACAACAAAACCACGGAGAAAACTACAGTGGCTAATTCCTTCCAGTTAAACGCACACGCAACAACTTATACAAAACAATAGACTATGCAGCACCGCCGCTAGTTCCTTCGAGTTAGCTGACTAATCGAGGCTTCGCCTACCTGACCCGATCAACCCGACTAAACTGGCGACCCGGAGGGCGCACGCACCTGATTGTAGAGCGCCTTGAGCGAGTCGAGCCGCTCAGTGAGCTGCTGCGGCTGGTCGCACGCGCCGTCCTCCACCACCTTCCGGCCCGTGCGGATCACGTACTCGACCTCGGACTTGAGCTCGGCCAGACCCTGGTACAGCCGCTGAGGGAATAAAGACACAGTAAACTAGCGGAAAAAAACACACACACAGTCAGACAGTGAGCAGACAGGCGCTGATTGCATTAGCAATGCACATGCATACACAGAAAGAGGAATACAGGCAACGGTATAGGTGTGCCTGTGGTGTGTGTCTGATGATGTCAGTGTCTAGCTGGTCCCATTCAGTGGGTGAATCTGTGTCAGTGTCAGTTACATATCAGTGCATCAGTGTGTCAGTGTGTCAGTGTCTGTGCCAGCGTTTCAGTGTTAGTGTCAGTGTGTCAGACTCACCAGGCAGCTGTCCATCTGCGCCTGGATGCCCTCGAGCCGGTCAGTGTTACTGTCAGTGTAGGTACTCTGTGTCAGTGTGTCAGTGTGTCAGACTCACCAGGCAGCTGTCCATCTGCGCCTGGATGCCCTCGGGCCGGTCAGTGTTACTGTCAGTGTAGGTACTCTGTGTCAGTGTGTCAGTGTGTCAGTGTCACACTCACCAGACAGCTGTCCATCTGGGCCTGGATGCCCTCGGGCCGGTCCGTCTCTTTCTCAGCCTCCCCGGCCTGGCGCTGCGCCTCCGCCAGCCGTCCGGCCACCGCCGACAGACGCGGCTCGAAGTCGGCCGGCGTCTGGAACTTGACGTACTCTGAACGCACCTCGCCGTACGTACTCTGTCGGGGACGGACAGTTCAGGTGACGGGAGTGGCGCTCGTGGAGAAAACATACGGTACTGAATGGGCTACTGCCAGGTGATATCCAACACTGCTGCCTCACGGCCTCTAGCCGAAGTAGCGAACCATACCACTCAGACCCGTGCAGCAGCAAACCATAGTTGCAGCTTCAAAAGCAAGGCGAGGTGCGCGCCACAGCACTTCCCAGTCCATCTAGCCTCACTGGGCGTTCTCCCTTACTCTCTCCACCTCCACTTCCCAGCCTCTCTCACCTGCAGGACTCCCAGCTGCTCCTGGAGACGCGCTGCCGCGTTCTCCCTGCCCTCTGCCAGGTAGCGGGCTGCCTGTTCAGAGAGCTGACGCAGCAGTCGCTCGGCGGTACCGAAATCGGCCGACAGCTCCTGGACGCCAGCATATAGAGACAAACGATCAGAAACAAGAATGCGAGTTTGTCAATACACAGGGACGCGGTCTTAGTCACAAATAATTTTGAGCTGGCAGCCACATCGACGAGTGTCAGCGGACGGACACGGAGGGCGCACTCACGGCAATACAGACGGGGGTACAGGGCCGAAAAAATGGCCCAAAACACACCTTAAAAGCAGTACTGAGTATGTCACCAACCAACAGCCTACCCGGAGAGTCGTCACAGCGCCTCAGCAAAGATACCATGTCAGCGGAAAGACATCGCTCGGTCGCAGCTTGGTAGGCGGCTAAGTAGCCGCATACACTGAGCACACATGAACAAATGCAAAAAGCATGGTGGCAATCTGGAGAGATAACGACTGGTATAATAGGTAGCTACTAAGAAGTCTCATATGATGGCCCGGAATCAGCTGATAATAGCAGCGACACATCAAGGCGTTGATAGGTGCAAGACCCTTACTGACATTGTGTACCCATGACGATGGTATTCATCAGAAAACCTAATAATGCATTGATGTGCAATAAAGTAAAACAATAGAAAAAGAATCACCTAAAGCAATTACTAACGATGATGAGAAAGCATCCAAGTCAGCTTACCGCTTAGCCGAGTGTGAAACAAAATACAAACAAGTGAAGTTAAGAGCAAAAATAGACTCAAAAAAGACTAAAGTAACGACCCCAATAGTCGCATAGATCCCCATGAATGGCCTAGTCCACCCGACACAACGTGGCAACCTGAGCACCTGAGCAAAGCCGAACCTTACACTGGAAGATACATCTCAACAGTGATATCAGTGCATCGGCGCAAGCTGTAGACTCGTCATTACCTTCGTCCACTCGAAGAAACTAAAAAATGACATAATAGAACGCACAACACAGAACAATGCAGGGCAAAGGTCATTTTTAGTGCAAGATGCTTATCGTTATATAAAACAGCAAACTGGCCTGCAAGAAATGTTATGAAGCTAAATCTACCATGCAGTAGATAAAAAGTCATGCAAATGAAAACACCACAGAGCATGAAGTAAAAGTACAGCTTGTTACAAAGCGTTTGGAGTAGACGAGCAGGTTTGAGAGGAGCGCTGTGGTGGTCTGCCGACGGTTGGTCGGTGGAGAGCTCAGAGGCCCGGCAGTCGGAGGAGGGCCCAGGGTCACAGTCACGCGGTGACTACACTACATCGCACGGCAAATGGTGGTCCGCAGGTGTTCGACAGAGCGGGGCCACCGACGGACAAGGGTCACACCACACGAAACCACCGGCGGTCCTATAGTCACCCAGAGTACACATAGAACACCCAGCAGCGGTCTTTAATGCACGGCAGATATGAACTTCCTAGCTATCCTGGCTTACCTACTACCTAGTAATCCCCTTGTGTTAAAAATACAGACCTTCGGAAAGCCAAACAAGAGCATGATTTCCCATTTCCCCGCCCTCCAGTTAAAGGGACCCTCCCACCTTTAAAAAAGTTTATGAATTGGCATGAAAGTGATGTCGCTCGGTTCAGAAAGAGCGAAAACGAATATCTACCAAATTTCACCGAAAAATATTCACCGGTTTTCAAGATATTAGACTTTTACTTTTGTTTACTTTTTGGGATCTCCGCTGTTCCTAGCGACTTTATTTAAAAGTGCGGCATTTGTTGCGCGCAACGCAGCATATACCACCGCGTGCTACAAAACGTTTTAGTCAAACATTTAACGGACGTTCGAAAGCCTGATGACGTCATCAGATTTAAGTGCCAATACCAATACACTGTGGCACTTATTTGCACAGATGTCAAAATCAAACTCAAATTTCTTTGCGATGAAGTAATTGCTGGAGAAACGGTTTTCACGGCACTGATTTTCAAAGAACGTCCATCAAGATGGCTATCTCAACTCAAATCTAATGTTAAGGTGGGACAGTCCCTTTAAACAACTATTTTCTAGTCCTTTGCAGAACTTAGTGACTTTACACCTAACTGTAGCCCCCTGCAGCATATTTGCCTTCCCAGTGAAGGTCTTCAATATTTGCCTTCCCAGTGAAGGTCTTCAGCAGCCATTCAACTGATGCAGCAGCATAACGTAAATTACGCAGCCATCTAGCCTATGCAATACTTTCCGACACAATGTCGTAATTGACCTTCACGATCCTTCATCCAGCAAGCTGTAGATCCAGACAGGTTCTTTTATCCCGGGTGTGTCAGTACAGTAAAATAAGCGTTAGGCGGTAGCTGAAGCCCCGGCGCGGACCCCACACTCAGTCGTCGTCCAGTGCCGCCGCGCCTGTCCCCCGGTGCCACTCGGTCGCCTGTAGACTCAGTGGCCGCCCCCTGGTCCGCCGGGCCGTACCTCGGCCTCGGAGTCGGGCAGCGGTCCGGCCTGCCGGGCGGCCAGCAGGCGCCGGATGCCGGACAGCCACTCCAGCGTCTCCGAGAGCTGCCGCTCGTGGCGCTGCGCGGCGCCCAGGTCGTCGGCGAGCGCGCCGCGCCGCTCCGCCGCCTGTCGGCCGAGCCGCCGCACCGCTCAGCACACGGGCCGCCCACCGCGCCGCACCGCCCGCACCCACAGATAGCACACACAGCAGAGAGAGAGAGAGGCAGAGCTACATAGTGCACCAATAGAGATACTGAGAGAGACACAGCGTCAGCCGGCGCCAGAATTACTGCAGAATTACTTAGAGCTAATCAGAGAACAACAATTAGGCAGCTAATAGAACGCGGTCGAGAGATTGAAATAGTCAGCGGGTGAGCGTTACATTGGTGAGGCATGGTTAGTACCTGCACATTGCACATGGACCGCACCACCTAGTGGTTTCGAGTTAAACGGTTGTTAGGTTTAAGACTGTCATGCCATTTAGTAGTAGCGAGGCAAAGGAGCAGGCTGCGCAGTTGCGCACTGCTTTCCCTTCCGTAATTGCTTCCCTTTTTCAAAGTAATACTTCATAAAAAATGAATGCTGAAGAGTAAAGTAGGTTCGTGCTTAAAACTACATTGACAATATCAAAGCTCTAGAACAAAATGTGACAGCTAACTTTTCCTAAAAAAAAAAAATAAGATGTTAGTCAGCTAGAATACCCAAACTGTCTAAAATTATTTCAACGGCAACATGTGCCAAGACGTGCCACACCCAGAATATCTTCAGCACAATACAAAAATTGTGACTTGCAGTCACATCAAATGCAAAGTGCCGCGACTCTCAGTTTTACGCGTCTCCAAACAACGCGAGTCGAGTCTCATTCACTCGCTGCCAACATAAAGCCCGGAAAAATGGCTACGAAAACAAAACTGACGCCCCGACAAACACAAAACGAAGCACCAGGCAAGCGTTATCTATCAGCAAGCAGGATCTCCGACCGATGGGGGCCGGTGCGTGCAGCCTACGCAGGCGGTAGCGTCTGTATATACAATATACATGGGTGAGGAGGTGAGCGGACAATGCCGCAACAGGGGGAGTCGGGTGACAGGTGCAAGGGGAGGAGAGCGGATGGGTACCGCCACTGCGGGAAGGAAGGCGGTTGCCATTGGGGTAAGAAAGCGGACGTGCCCCATCACTACGGAAAGGTCTGCTGACGGGCGCTGAGGTAAGAAATCGATGGGCGCCGCCATTAGGGGAGATCAGCAGACGGACGCCGTCCCTGAGGAAAGGAATGAGGACGGTTCCTGGAGGAAGGTCGGCGGAGTACCGCCGCCCCGACTGACCGTCTCGCTGAACTGCTGCCAGCGGTGCACGATGTTGTCCCGGTCGGTCTGCACCTCGTCCCGGAGCACGCTGGCCGCCGTCAGCTGCTCGGCCAGCGTCTGGACCTGCGGGATCCGCTCGGCCGGGTGGTTGTGCAGGTACGTCTCCAGCTCCTGAGACACGGGGGAGCGGTTACAATGCAGGGGACCTAACCAGTTACTGGGCGATACACGGCGGACGGAGTCCCAACACAGCGCAGATGTGACACGACCACTGAGCGCGTGGCTAAGGCCATGCGATGTTACTGGCCAATGACGCAGGCGTTAGTCGCGATAAGGTGCAGCAATGAGCATCCAGCCAGCTGATAAAATCGTAATGTACCCAGCCATCAGCTATCTAGATGACGCCTTCAGCACAAACGATGTTCCTCTTTCTCTCCATTCTTAGTCCCCACATAAACATAAACAATCATCAGCTGTCGCCTACTGATGTCAGTCTACTCATCCAGCCGTTCTCGTTCCCCGTGCTTCCCTCCCCTTCCCAACCGTGACTGTCTAGGGCTTCCTTACGTCCAGCTCAGCACTGATCTCCTCGGCGTCAGCGGCCAGGCGCGGCGAGCGGGCCAGCTTCTTCTCCAGCCGGTCCAACCAGCTGTTCTCGGCGAAGGTCAGCTCTGCCAGAGCGGGCACATGCAGCGCTAACTCCCGGCGCTCGAGCCACTACTACGGGAGGGGAGGCGGCGCGGGCGGCGCGGCGCGGGCGGCGCATGCCGGTCGCCGGGCCAGCTCGGCGTTCGGGAGAACAGGCGCCAGCCGCACTACTATTATAACATGCCCGGGTGCACGCGACAGTTGGCTGCGTAACGGTAGGATGTGCAGAGCGAACGTACAGATGTTGATGCGTAGCAAATCATTGCAGCAAAAGTGATGGATACAAAATGACATTGCCTGGATCGGTTATGAAAAGGCATATAAGTCCGTTAAGAAATGAATCGGGAGTTCAGGACTGATTTAAGAACTTTGCACGGCAGCAACAGGCGAAAAATATGGCCCCGTGGGATCTTAAGTGAAATTTCATTTAAATTCAGCAGCCGGTCCTGGTTCTATTTTTGCACTGCGTGAACTGGATAAGGATTAAAGGTCGATAATATATTTAGGATCGTTTCCGAAATGCCTAATAGTTGTGGGATTCTAAACAACCATACGAGCGAGCACCATAAAAAGCAACAGGTATTTAAAGTGGAACATCAGCTGCTAGCGATAACACCTAAAACGTAAGCTTAAACTAAACAACCATGAACCAACTCAAGAGCTTTACAATATACGAGCCTAACATAATAATAAATGTAACGAGGAAAAGGCCCGTCGAATGAGCAGCCATTCCCATTAAACTAAAGACAATCATTCTCCCACAGAACAACGACTAAGATAGCAACCATATAGCTAACCAGATCGCTAGCAAGCTATTAATACGCTATAGCAGTGCGACAGCGAGGTGCGAGGGTCGGTTAATCACTCACTCTTGAACTGATCGTAGTTGGCGATGGCCTGATCGCAGCGCTCGGCACGGGCGGTGAGCTGGGTGCTGAGCTCGAGCCAGCGCTGGCAGGCGGCGCCGGCCGCCGCGTCCGCTGTGGGATGGAGAGGGGTGGACACTGGACGGTCAAAGGCCCGTACAACGGCACAAATTACCAGGTCACAGATCCACATTACCCGATAACAAACTCGCCAGTCGCTCACAGCCACCTACGACCCGTCAGAGCCGCACAGACACACAGTGACACACACAGCACTGTCCGGTCACAGACCCATGCAGAGTGCAGACACACGCCACCTCCCCATCCGATACCTGTCGAATCCGGTCGCTAGGGGCCAATGATAAATGGAATGATGACGGACAGTGAAAGAGTCACCCGCTAGGTACCCAAAGAATCTTTTCAGTCCCTCATGATGGATCTGTCCCCCTTCATCGCCCTTCGTAGGTGGGATAGGGACACTGACCCTGTTTATTGAGCTGCTCGTGGCGGGCCTGTCCCTCCAGCAGTCGAGCAGACAGCTTGGTCAGCAGCTGTCGCAGGTCGTTCAGCTGACCCGGCGTGGTGATGGCCGTATCGGCTGGCAGCTGAGACTCCACCTCGCAGACCAGCTCGGACAGCAGGCGGGTCTGCTCCGCCACCTGGCAGCGAACACCACACACCAGTCACACAGCTGCATGTGTACAGGGTCACATACAAGCCGGTGTGTATGTGTACACAGGGTAACACAGCGACTCCACCTTGGAGACCAGCTCCGAGAGCAGGCGAGTCTGCTCCGCCACCTGACAGCGCCAATACACGGGGTCACACACGGTCACATAACGTTCTCCACCTTCGAGACCATCTCAGTCAGCAGGCGAGTCTGCTCCGCCACCTGACAGCGCCAATACACACACGGTCACATAACGTTCTCCACCTCAGGGACCATCTCAGTCAGCAGGCGTCTGCTCAGCCACCTGCCGCCACGACCATAAGTCACACAGGGTCACATATTATACGGACGCACGGTCGCACACAGTTTCACGTCCGAGTCATACACTGTCACACACCAGCAAAGCGGCCACACCACGGACACAAGGTCACATAGAGCGACCGCTACCGATAAGAACTCCGCCTCGGTTCAGTGTCTCGGCCCTGACTCGTCTTATACTCGCCCATGGCGTTCTCAATGCTGTCATGACCCACCTGTTTACAGTCTTCCATGGCCTTCTCGATGCGCTGGGCCCTCTCTCTGGCGCGCCGCTCGGCGGTGTCCAGCTGCTCGGTCAGTCGCCGGCTGCGCTCCGTCAGGTGCTGGCGCAGCTCCGGGGCCGCAGAGGTGCGCAGCCGGTCACCGGTGCGTAGCACGCCCTCCAGCGTGGTGCGCAGGGAGCACGTGTCGCGCAGCAGGCCCTGCGCAGGGGGCGGGCGCGGGAGCAGACAGAATCAGCGGTTAGAGCCAGGCATATCTCGTAGACCCCAGCTCTAGCAGAGCAACCAGCCCGCGGCTCCAAACCCACCAGTCTCGTAAGATCCACAGTAATCACGATTCCATCCGCCCCTTTAAACCCCAGACCACAAGCTTATCTGAATAATCTACGCTAGACCAAGTCCGTTAGACCAGCCGAAAGGCACCACCAACACCTTATCCCCGACCCCCGACCCCTGACCGGGATTTGTCTCATCCGAGAGCGCCGCCTCCTTACGTCGCTCTGTTCCATCTGAGCGGTGAGCGCGGCGGCATCCCCCTCAGCGGCCGGCTCGGAGAGCAGATCCTCCACCTCCCTCAGCCAGCTCTCCACGCCGTCACCCTCCGTCTGGTACTGGTACGAGTCGAAAATCGCTGCAAAAGCAGGTAAAGCAGCTGACTCAGGATGACTATGAGGGAATGAACGAGTGATCCGCCATACTCCATTGTGAAGAGGTGACTGCGTCCAAATGTGACTTTGACCCAATGTGACCGTGTGACATCCGTCCCGGTAAATTCTTGGATTCAGGATGTTCCAGTGTGACCGCGTGATAGAATATGTGACCGTGTTCCAGTATTACCGTGCTTCAGTAGGACCGTTACCCCACCATTCTCCGGTGTTCACGTGTTCCTCGTTTATGTTCGAGTGTTCCTATTTGCCTCAGTCTACTGCAATGTTCCAGTGCCTCTCACCCTGTTCCAGTTTGGCCATGCGGTCGGTGAGCAGCGCCCCGGCGGCGCCCCAGCGTTGGTTCAGCTCGTCCAGCTGTCCGCGCAGCTCGGCGTCACCGGCGCTGATCAGCTCCTGGCCACTCGAGTTGACAAAGTCCAGGCTGGCCTGTTGGGTGTCCATCTCCGACTGCAGCTCCTGCAGCACACAAACCGAGCGGTGGCTGGAGTCACAGGCTCGCCGAGGGACTTGGTGTTTAATTCAATGACAGAAAGACAGCGACAAGGTAAAAATAACGGCTTTCAGTGGTTTCAGATCAGAGGTAACCATACACCCTGTTGAGTAACAGCTCGGTCTCCTTTTCAAAACTGTCACTGTCAAGCGACTCCGTAACTCAGCATGTACCCGTCGAGCTGAGTCTCTGGTTCGCTGGTCCCTGAGTCCTGAGCCTGACTCACCTTATACCTGTCGAGCTGAGTTTCCATCTCCGCAGCAGCGCGCACCACGAACGGCTCGCCGAGCAGGGCGTCGTGCAGCTCTGCCACCCAGCCGGAGAGGGCCGCCACGGCCTCCAGGAAGGCGGCCGGCCGCTCCGGCTGCGTGTTGCTCACCTCCGTCTCGAGTTCAGTAATCCTGGTGGTGAGGACACAAAGAAATATTAAGCTTTGAGGTAGCGGGAGCAGGCCTGTACGACTGATGTATATTGGATACTCATTGTCTTCTGGAACTCAGCACTTGTACAATACATATACTATTTCACTTCCAAAAGCATTAGGGAGAAGAGTCGCCAGCTTAAAAAGCTTTTTGGCAACCATTGGTTTTCCTTCTTCTCATTCACATTTTTTTCATTTCCAAAAATGTTTAATGTAGGCTAAAACCACTAAGCTTGCTGGGCAATTCAGCGACCCCTAAGCCTTAACGTCGGTGACTACACCCTCAGTCTGGCGTCTGCACTCACTTGTTCATCACCGTCTCCCACTTTTGCAGGAAGACGTCCACGTCGGCCTCGACCTGTTCCTCGTCGCCCTGGCCCAGGCTGATGAGGTCCTTGGCTTTGTTGGCCATGGCCGTGACACGCTCTTCGTCCCGCTGCATCTGCTCCAGGCGCTCCTGCGATAGATAAAGCGTCAACTATCCACGCCAGACTGAGCTGTGCCGATCTGCGTCACCGCCCGTGGCCCTGACAACCCAGCAAAAACAGCTGCGAAAACTTCACAAATCATGAAACTTGTTGAAGGTCGAGCAGCCCTCATAAAATGTCGTATCTGTATCTGTACTCGAAAAGGGAAATGCGGCAATATAATCTTTTTGCTTTGTTTATGTCCAGCAATATGGTGTGAGTGAAATGCAAGTAAGTGACAACCAAACTGAACAAAGCAGTCAGCCATCTGCACGCTAGTAAAATGTCTCGTAGCGCGCGGTGAGAATGCCGAGCACCAGCCGCTGTCTAGTGTCTACTGAGCGCCGACCTGCGGCGAGTGGGGCCATGCTGGAGACGGGGCGGGGACGGTCGGGTCGGGACGGCGCTGAGCTCACCTTGCAGGCGGCCAGCACGGCCATGCGGCCGGCGGGCCGCGGCCGGACGCCCTCCACCCAGGCCAGGTGCTGATCCACCAGGCCGCCCAGTTGGCCCAGCTCCTCGTAGAAGGCCGCCTCGTCCAGCAGGTACTCGGCGCGGTCCCGCCGTTCGGCCACCAGCCGGCGCACGTCCTGGTAGTCGGCCTCGACGCGCTCTACCTTGCGCAGCACGTCGTCGCGCTCGCCGCGCTGCTGGAAGCCGCGGCAGAGGCGGGCCGCCAGTCGGCGCACCTCCTCCACGTCCGGCTGATGCGCCTCCACCTCGCGCCACACCTGGTTCAGCTCGGAGAGCGCCGCCGCCTGGTCACCGCCGCAGCTCAGCGCGCGCTCGGTCCGCTCGCGCGCCGCCAGCGACCACTGGGAGAAGTCGTGCAGCGCCGTCATGAAGTCGTTGTGCGCGTTGGCCGACTGGACGCGGCGTCTCTTGGCGCCGCCCGGCGCGCCGCTCACGTCATCCGTCGAGGAGGCGACGCGCGGCCGCACGTTCATGCCGCAGCGCTGCAGCTGCCGGGCGCGGGCGCAGTGGCGCGTCACTGCTCCGCTCCAGGGAGGGGCGGCGGGACGGGACCGGGCAGCTGGGGCACACGCGGGCAGGCAGAGTGCGGCGAGACGACCGACCGCCGAGGGGGTCAGCCGCACCGCACCACCGCCGGAGGACATGCAGATTAAACGGCAGGTCAGATGACGATAGCCAGCGCGACTGATCTACGAAAACACAGACCGGCGGGGACAACTAGAACGGCTCGGAGCCGGCCGTTGGCAGACTATTGAGGGACCTAAGCAGCCCAGCGGCAGCCAGCGAGGTGAGTGACGTTGACCGGTGGCCATGCCTCCCCGCCCCTTCTGACCGGCTGGACCCTTGGTCAGGGTCATGCCCCTTGGTCAGGGTCTGCCGGGGCATGCGGTCCCGCGCGGATCGTACTTACCCGGAGACTCTGCGCCTCAATGATCTGCACCAGACAGTCCCAGCGGTCTTTGACGTCTTCCAGGCGCTGAGTGATGTCCTCCTGCGCCGGGGAGTCCGACTCCAGACAGGCCAGCACCTGGGTGGAGAGGTCCTGGAGCACGGCGAACCGGCTGTGCCACTCCTCCATCTGAGACTGCAGCTCCTGAAGACAAGCAGCGCCGCACCGGGCGAGTACACTGTCAGCTTGAGCACACATGGCCAGATCGAGAACACCGCACTGCGGCCGGCGCAGTGACCGGGCGGCCGCCGCTGATGGCTTCGACGATCGGACACCTAGACCGAGATCCGAGCCAACACTTCAATATTGAAGCAACGGGTCCGGGGAGCTATCTCAACTAGCCGCGACTGTTCACCCACCTGCAGCTGGCTGCCCTGCTGCTGGAGCGCCTGCTGCTCAGTGGTCGGCTCGGCCTCCATGGCCTTCAGGCGTGCCTCCTGGCCGTCCACCCAGTCCTTGAGCTGCGCCAGCTGCTCGTGCAGCTGCGGCCAGTGCCGCTGCAGCTGCGCTATGTGCTGCTCGCGCTGCTCGCTCCAGCTGACGGTGAAGTTCCACCGCTCCGACAGCACAGACAGGTGGTCCTCCAGGTTGGCAAACTCTGCCGACGGGGTAGACGTGATAGACGGTCAGCGGCTGCCCCAAAACACAGCATCTGATGGCCGACAGCAGTACCTACCAGGGCATGCCGCACGGCAGCAAGATCGACGGCACGGTACAATGACAGCGGTCACTCGAGTTAATAGCAAGTCTGCGAATAGATACGCTCCCGTTCCTAGTCCAGCGGCGTCTAACGGATATCCCTTAAACCAGACGAGTTCAACTGTGTCTAGATGAACCAACGGGGTCGTCGACACGCGGTAGCCCTTACCGCTGTCGTCGCCGTCTTCCTCCACCACCAGCACGTCGAACAGTTCGGTGACGTGCGGCTTCCAGCGGCCCACCTCCGCGGCCAGGGCTGCGTGCTCGGCCGCCTGCGCCGGCAGAGTGGACAGGTCGGGGCCCAGCGGAGCCGTCAGCGAGATCCGGTTCTCCATGCCCGTCAGCCAGGAGCGCAGCGCGTCCATGGCCGAGAGCTGCACCTGGGCCAGGCGCGACTGCAGTCTGGGGGACACAGAGAAATACAGTCAGAGCTGCGCCTGGGTCAGACGCGACTGCAGTCTGGGGGACACAGAGTAATACAGTCAGAGCTGCACCTGGGCCAGCCGGGACTGCAGTCTGGGGGACACAGAGAAATACAGTCAGAGCTGCACCTGGGCCAGCCGGGACTGCAGTCTGGGGGACACAGAGAACTACAGTCAGAGCTGCACCTGGGCCAGACGCGACTGTAGCCTGGGGGACACAGAGACAGATACAGTCAGAGCTGCACCTGGACCAGACGGGACTACAGTCTGGGGGACACAGAGAAATACAGTCAGAGCTGCACCTGGGCCAGACGGGACTGCAGTCTGGGGGACACAGAGACAGATACAGTCAGAGCTGCACCTGGGCCAGCCGGGACTGCAGTCTGGGGGACACAGAGACAGATACAGTCAGAGCTGCACCTGGGCCAGACGGGACTGCAGTCTGGGGGACACAGAGACAGATACAGTCAGAGCTGCACCTGGGCCAGATGAGACTGCAGTCTGGGGGAACAGCGACGGATAAGGTTAAAGAACTGCGCGACGGATAAGGTCAAAGAACTGCAACAAAAAGCGAAACAATCGAGAACCATAAAAACCATAAACTTATTAGCGATTTCTAAACTTTGTAACCTAAGAACCTCCAAGCAAAAAAAAAACACAACACAAAGCCATGCGCTCGGCATCGGCTCGGCCGCCGGCGACTCACTGTGTCTGCGTCTCGATGGCGCGCTGTCGCAGCTCCTCCCAACGCAGCGTCAGCAGCCGCATCTGCTCGCGGATCTCGGCCTCCTCCTCGGCCGTCACCTTCTCCGTCAGCAGCCGCTTCCCCTCGTCCAGCACCTCGAATATGTCCGCCTTGCGCTCCGTCAGCTCCACCATGTAGGCCTGCGGGTCGGCCGCACGGCTGGTCAACACTGGTTTTAGGGCCAGCTGTAGGTCAATCAGCAGGTCTACGGGCCGGCGGTACAGCGGCCGGTCAACTATCATGACTTATCATGATAGTTAACTGGTTATATAGTTAACTGGTCATAGAGTCATAGCTCATAGGCTCGACGTTGAGGGTCTGCGGGACGGAGGCACAGCCGGTCAATGAACACTGGTTACAAAGTCACAGATCCACCAAGGACCACTGGCAACACGGGCTGAGTAACAAGAACCGTAACAGCATTGTAAGCGGCCGTCAGGTGGCATAGTGATTACTGAGGAATCCCCCACCCGTCTCGGCCATCACACCTGTGACCTGGCTAGCTGCAGCGCTGAGCTGATCCCATCCCTGACTGTGATTCCAGCCCTCCCAGCTACCCCGTGTTCACACCTCATGCGCTTTGAAGCGGCTCTTGACGTGCGCCAGGCTGTCAGAGTCGCCGTCGGGCGCCTCGAGCCGCGCGCCGGCGTCGGCCAGCCAGCCGAGCACCTCCTCCAGGATGGTCGAGTACGTGTTGATGTCCACACCGGAGCCGGACGAGAGGAACGACGAGGGTCGCGCCGGCCGCGCCGCCTCCGCCTGCCGGACGAGCACGGCACATCAGTAAGTACGAATGATCGGTTCAATATCACACGTGAGTGAATGAGAGAATATCTATAGATCGACATTCAAAGAGGACGGTCTGGTTAGTAAATAACGATATCAGGCTCTGCCCCTGGAGCGGTGGCCGGCTCCGGTGACAGCGAGTCGGCCACTATAGACTCGCCACCGGATGCTGGGTTACGGAGCGCCACCAGCCCGGTCCGCTGGCAGGCGCTGTGACAGGGGAGCGCAGCCATACCAATTGCCGACAGTTGGTCACAGGGCCGGTGGCCAGCCGGGAATAACCGGCGGTGGGCACGGGCGAGCCGGACTGACCGGCGTCGACTCAGAAGACACCAACTAAATTCGCACTAACGACAAAGCGTTCACGACTCACCATAGCCTGGTTATGTGTGAACTCAGTGGTCATTTACCATAGTCCAACTACGAGCCCCGCGGTCACTCACCTGCCACTAGTCACCATGGTCGGACTACGAAACCCGTAGAAACCCATCGTAGCCTGGGCCGCTGAGTGTGGTCGACCCAGCGCCCACTTACCATTGTCGGGCCGAGGACCCGGCGGTCACGACTGTTCCTTTGTCGCGACACTGGCTGCCGCGCAGCCGTTGGTTGGCGCAATCACCATTCACAGTCCACAGCTCACCGCTAGTGACTCACATTCACAGCCCGTTACAAAGCCCCACAGATCTCAGTTCATAGCTTATAACTCTACACCCACAGTGTAAAGATCACAGTTCACGACTCAGAACTCAAAGTTCACAGTCCAGTAACAGCCTACTGCTCACAGTTCACTCCTCACAGTTCACATCCCACAGTGCCACATCCCAAACGAAGCCAGCACACCGTCACGGTCCCACCGACCACCGGGCACTGGGCACTGAGCACGGTGCGAATTCTGCCGGCGAGGCTGGGCCGGCGCCACTGCCACCGAGCTGGGGTGACAACGCCCGCACAGCTGCTGCAGCCCCCCCCCCCCGTCCCCTCCCCAGCGCACCTGTCTGCGGGGCAGCGGCGGGGCATAGCTCGGGTCGGCGAACTGCATGTCGACGGTATCGTGCGGCAGGACTTGGAACAGACACATGACGTACGTCATGATCGACTTCTTGTCCGGGTAGGTGGTGTTGACGTCTGCAGACAGAGGGGGTGGGGTCAGCCCAGTTTGTGGACAGAGGGGTGCAGGTCAGCCGGAAACGCACGGACCATCCCGGCCTGCCGGGAGCGCGTCCCGTTAACGACACACTGCCTGTCAGCTACGGACCCCTCCCACGGATCAGGTCACTCCCATTCACATTCCAACACCGAATCGTGCGCTCGAATTATTCCACCATCACCTGAACGGGACTATACAGAACTGAGTAAAAAAGCAGCTGTACAACAGACGCTTCACTATTGTATACCCGTACCCAGTCTGTCCTATATCGGCGTTACAGCCCCTGCCTGCCCTGCCCGTGCCGGCCGCCTACCTTCCGGGTCGAGCAGGCGGTCGATGTTGAGGTACTTGTGCGCCAGTTTGAAGGCATACTCGAGCCGCTGCGCCGGTGGCTTGTGCAGCTGCGTGTCGTAATCGAACAGCTCCGGCTCGAACTTGTGGATAAGCGCGTTGAAGGCCAGTCCGTCCGTCCAGCTGGTGGTGAAGTTGCGAATGTCCACGCCCTCGTAACCCTGGCGGAGACCGGGAACAGATGGTTGGCTGGTTATCGGTGGGCTGGGCTGGTGTGGCGGGGCCGGACGGTGCAAAGAGCACACACGAGCTGATAAGCATGAGGCCAGTACACATGGGGTGGGATGGTACGCATATTATGGGGTCGGTCCAACGGAGCCGGATGCATTGGAAATGGATTTGGCTCGGTTGGGCCCGCGCAGGGTACGGAAGAGCACCCACAGTCGGGCCAAAGGGTGCTTGGCATACACTTCAGTAATCACAAAGCTGCTACAATGGGACCGTACGGTATTGTGAATGGGTCCGAATAGCGTAGCAGAAAAGCGATGAGAGCATGTGGTTGCATTAATTTTGGCCTGACTGGCCAAACCAAAACAAAGCAATACAATAAAAACGGCTTCACGTCTGTCAGGATGATAAGAGCTCCTGACAATGACACCGACAATGACAGCGATCAAAACTGATCAACGAGCCCCTGTTGACACTGACGCACGTTAACTGCTGCTGCTGTCACTGTTGGCTGACACTGTTACTGCTAACCTGTGACACTGACACACTGCCACAGCTGCCACTGTCCCTGCCACTCCCCTCAGAGGCCGACAGCGGGGCCGAGGCCGGGGACGTACCTGCGTCATCTGGCGACACCAGGCCAGCAGCGTCTTCTCCAGGTTCGTCTGCTTGGCCTCCTTCATAATGCCCTTCAGGACGTCCTGCACCTGTGGACGGCGAGGTAGAGCTCGTGTCACGCCGCTCCAGCCCGTACCGAACTGCGCCCGGCGCCCAGCGGCACGGCACGGACCGCAGTTACCCCCTCCCCCCCCCCCGCCATTGTCTCGGATGGCCACCCCATGGGGAGGGGCGCCAGGCGCCGGGGACGCACCAGTCCAAAGTACAGCGCGGCTCAGGTGTCAGTGGCCTATGTGCAGTGTGGACAAATCGAGTCCTCAGTTCCTCACTCCTCCCCACACACAACACTTCTGAGCCGTTACCAGTTATTATTATTTCACATTTGGGTACGAACTTTGCACCTTTTAAAATGTCAGTGATGCTGAGCGTTAAGAGTATCAATTATCGGCCATGTGTTCACATAAATAATTCATCGATCAGGGAGAAAGTTCGCTGTAGGGTTGAGCTTCATCAACAGAATTATATGTTCAATGATCACCACAGGACCGATAAAACTTAAACTTTCCCTATTTGAATTGTTCGACTCGTCGGTCTCGGTAAGACACATGTGATTCAGTGAATAAATACCAGTCCTATTTATCGGTATCTAGCCCCCTGTGCCCCTGTTGCCCCCCAAACTCCAGCCCTGGCTGTGCCTCTGTGAGCTGAAACCGTGCATGTGTCACGGGATGCCATGGCAGGCAGATACCATGAAATCCTGTTAAAATATTCAGCATTGTTCATCACAGCAGTCAAACGGCGATGTCGACGCCGGTACTCCATATGTTAATGTCTGAGCTTCTATGAAACGTATAATCATAATTCCGGTTCGTAATAACATAATTCATGAAGCATTGCATTAAAACGCTCCTGATGAGACTACAAAACACGCTGTAATTTAGTATTCAGCGTCACAAACAGCGGCAAATATAAACAAATCCCAGCAACTTGCCAAGACCAGACCCCTTCACGTCGCCTGCTGACCTGCCAGTGCAGGATGATGCTCCAGACCAGGCCCAGCGTCAGCTTCGGGTTGCCGTCCACGATGTCGTTATTGTTGATGTTGACCAGCTTGATTCTGTAGTCCCGTAATATTTGCAGGGCGTTGTTGACGTTGTTGAGGTGGTGCACCCGCATCTTGCCTTTCTCCTTTTTCTGTGAGACGCGGGTGAAACAAGGGATGATAGCTCGTATGCCGCTATACACAGCAGTTAATTACAGCCGTACCGTAAAGTGGGGCTATTTGAGACAGTGGGGCTATTTGAGACAGTATTTAAAATCGCTACAAAATGAAGAGCGTTTGATTTTTATGTGATATTTTTGCTCAGAAAGGTGTGGAATCGAGCAGTAAATCGCCTGAGCAAAAATTAAGCATAAATTTCAAACGGTTTTTATTTTATAACAATTTTAAATACTGTCTCAAATAGCCCCACTGTCTCAAATAGCCCCACCTTACGGTATACAAGAAGCACGATTCTGCTAACGATAGCACAGACTTTAACGTCCCGTCATGTAAAATACAACAACTAAAACAGGCCAGTCGAAGCCCAAATGCATGAAATGCTACATTTCATAACACTAATGATGATAAATTCGCTCATTCGGGCTGGCTTATGACAGCTGCCTAAACATATTAAATGATTTAGGGGTGCCGGACCACCGGCATCTGTCAATGTTTGACAGCTGGAGGCGACGGCAGAGCCTCCTGGCGTCAGTCCCTCGAACTCACGCATGGTTTTTCGGTGAGCACCTCCAGCAGCGCCAGCAGTTTGGAGCCGTCCCGCAGGTCGAAGAACAGATCGGTGACCGGCTCCAGTTTCTTCTGCAGGTGGCGGGGGGGGGGGGGGGGCACGGACACACGGGGCGTCAGCGGCGTGATAAGGGTAGGCGGGCCACGAGGGTAGGTGCTGAGATAGTGGGTATAACGAGCACAGTATGGGGCAGATATTAAACTGGGTAACAGACTGGAGTCACAGTACCAGGGCGACAGTGGCAAGTTGCACACTTAGGGGGCAGCTGGGTACGATAATGACAGTGGCAGAGATGTGAATATAGGGGAAGCAATAAAACGCATCCCGGCACAGTCGAGCGACGGCACTCGCCATGCGGCCACAGTATAATTACAGGCAAACCCGCATCACCTGCCTTCATTGAACTACGATCGAAAGTTATGCACCCTACGTCACCAGGCATTGCGAGGGCCATGGACCCGATACAGAACGCAGAGTAATGTTACCACGCCGCAATGTTCAAACATTTAAAAGCAGATACCCTACGAGATTCGCCACGAAGTTGGCACCTGTTGCTCGAATCAAGGGAGTCTGATCAAAAGTAAAACATGTCCATACAACCAAGTATCATGTACCATGTCATTTCAGTTGGACCATTGTTTATCTATTGTCGTAGATTCTCGGGTTCATAGGTACGCGAAATTTATCCTTCTAAAGCCCATAGACGAATTCGCGGTCTACGTCGTCATTGCCAACGTGCCCCACTTCTATGCGTAAGGTACCCAAACAGGGTACCTGTACCGGCAGGTAATTTGGGAAATGTTTAGACGACTGACGAGCATGGTAGGTAAGAAAATTAACGACCGGAAAATATATAGGTATATATTTACTGCTTGTCACCATCACGTACAGTAGGTCTACAAAATAAGTCCCCGCCGTATGCGGGTCACCAGTGGGCAGTTAGCGCCTGAGCGCTACTCGGGCGCCACCTGCCCGCATACGGAGAGGACTTATTTTGTAGACCTACTGTGCATCCCTGACTTGGGTGAAATTATTGCATTTCTAATAATCCTCCCTGATGAATATTTGCTTGAAAAGCCAACTGAAGAAATGTAACGCTTTTTAAGGAATAACAACTCAGAAATGCATGGCAAAAATAAAATCGCGAGTAAATATCAGGAACCTACATGCTATTACCTAAGACTTAGCATACCTATTTCAATCTTCGTAAGGATAAGTGTTATGCAACAAATTATTTTCATCTCATATGTACATAATTACGGCATAGTTACAGTGCAACTTAATGCATGAGAAACAATTAATAAACAAATGAACACTGAATGTCAGGCCACACAAAACAAAAGATGAATGATTTTTCAGAGGAAGAGTGGTTAAAATAGGAAGAAAGTAAAAGTATGCATATATTCAAAGCGATCCGAGTTCAGTTTTGAAAATCGGCATCCATTGCACATGCACCAATGGGAAAGTCAACAGCCAGAAGTTGACCACACAAATCATTACCCTCTCTGTAAGGCCATTCGGCTTATAAGATGGCAGTCTTGAAGTTCTCTGAAATTATTGGCATAAGTGTTTAATTAGCGACGAAAAGCTGACTACAACATGTGCTTTTATAGCTCGTTCGCCTCATTGAGTTCTTTAATAGTTCGCTCTTCATGTGCGAGCTGTATGGTATTCATCTTCATTGAAAAAAAAAATGTCATTATAACAGTCGGTGCATTAGGATTGGACGGATGTCCTAGCCAAAGTCACGCTAGACTGAAAATGTTGCGAAGGTTGCAGCCTTTTACGGCCAGACTTTAATATTGGTGGACGGTAAAATTAACACCGGAATTTAAGTGCCGCACCCACAGAGCCGGAGGCGGCCACGGCCCGTCCAGCTCACCGTTCTTCATCTGACCGATAAACGCAGACCACATATCACTCATCCTCCCCGTTGGCAGCGAACGTCGGGCAGTGCAGCAGCAGCCTCGACCTGGTCTGTAGCGACCTAACTGTGCTTTGTTACTAGTACTTTCTGTCACATCTGCTGCCAAAACCAAACCTTTCAAATGTCTTGTGCTCGACTCCTTTAGCTCATAAAGTCTCATACTAAAAAAACTGACAGCTTACATAAAAACCACATCTTGGGGGATGAGTGATGATCTAACCAGTAAAGTACATTGCACACATAATAAAACAGATTTATCTTATAAAGACAGTGTACCTATATTAAGAAGGATAATTGCCTACTTTATTGTCAACTAATAGTGATGAAAAAAGGAATGCATGAGAAAATAAAAGGTAGGGACATGAGCAAAAGAGTGGGATGGGAGAAAAGGTCCAGCAAGAATGGGTAGAGGTAGAGGCCAGGGTAGCTGGTGCAGTACTACGCAAATAAACTTTATTTGCGTAGTACTGCACCAGCTACCCTGGCCAGAGGGTGGAGACATGGAAAGGTAGGCAGTAGGAACAAAGATTAGGTGGGAATGGTGATAGTGAGCTCAGAAAGCAAACCAAGATCATAATGCCATTTTTATGAAAGAAATAGAAAGCCTAAAGACTAAGAACCTAGATGTAGTATACTAGGTCTCAAACTTGCATAATTACCTTTGCCAGCTGTGAGTTGATCCATTTGGAAAAGGTTTTCTTCTGTACATCCTCCCTTTCATCTGGGAAGAAAAATACACATTGTCACCTCACTTTACATTCTCCTTCCCGCCATTGTTGTCCTGGACAATACATAGCAATGCCTTTATCTGAAGCAATAAAAAAGTGGCTAGTAATTATCAATCAAGTTAATCTTAGCGCTGTTCGGCAGCCGGCTATTTTGTGTGCAGGGTATGACGCATTCCGCGAGCCGACGTCACGGGCGATGACGTCGGCTCGCGCGCGAGCCGAGCGCCAACGACAAACTAACGGGAACCCTCGGACACCCTCGGGGCATAAACCGCGGAGTAGCATATTGAGCGAGTCTTATAAGGGAAATTCATATATTTTCGTTTCTCAAATGATAATCAGGGTATCTCTTACCTTTTTACGGATCAATTAGGCTTACCTAACACTTCAGTTGCCAAATATCTGCAATTTATTCAAACGAAGGTATTTTCAGTAAATATCAATGCTTTAGACCGAAATCTTTTGAATAAAAAGTCTAACCAACAGAAATAAAAATAACTTATTTTATTCCAACCATTTCCTCCAAATTAACAACATAAAAACTCACTTTTACACACATCATTCATAATAAAGTACGCTAACGCTCCGCTTTTGACAAATGCGGCGTGGAGTGGCGCGCTGCTAGCGCTCTTTTTTGATCGCAGAGACCCTGCACGCGCGCGAGCACACTACGTCACGTCCGGGGGGCACAGGTATATGAAAAATCGCAGTGACGTAACACTTTTCTCGCTTCTCATTGGTCAATAGCCCGTTGCCAGGGTAACGTGCACGTATGTGAGCGCCGGCAAGAGTACTAGCCGGCCGCCAATCAGGGCTCTTGGTGCACATTTTGTCAGCACGAACTATAAACTATAAATAAATTAAAGTACCTATAAAAATATGCATTTATCATTTAAATTTTGCCAAATAGATAACAGTAGCAGGGGGTGAACAAAAAAGTAAGATTTCATGACCAGTAATAACATGAACTCTACTGGGCATGTGGACTTGCTGCACTGCTCACTTATCTAGTATATCAGTTAGGTATATTAACTAAGGTATAGGCTAAAGACATGGTCTATAAATCTATGTCCGACCCTGCAAGGCGATAAGGTCTGCATGCCAACAGAATTGAATATACTTAATTAAAAATTCTGAACCATAAAATTCAGCAATGACATGCCAGTTGCAAAAATAATCCACACAAACATTTGGTTCATTATAATACTTCCGCAAGTGCAAAACTAAAAACACGCTTGTAACTCAAACAAATTTGTAAAAACACGTATAAACATGATATTCATAGGCTGATACACATCAAATAGCTTGTAACTAAAACAAATTTGTAAAAACATGTATAAACATGATATTCATAGGCTGATACACATCAAATAATTAGGTACCTATGCATTTATTTGTAGGTAGGTGCAAATGCCAAAAGAGCACAATCAGCATTTCATCAATACCCTGGTCTTGTTCATTTAATGTTTTGTGAGGATGCTCATTTAGATTAGAGTTCATGCAAGGGTGGGTGGTGCTAATGAAGGCTGATATTGTGCCTTAACTATTGACATCATTGATGCTGGTTTGGGGAGGTCAGGTTGAGGACTCTGCTCATTGTGCAGGTGATGTTAACAGAGTTATCTGACCAGTGGCGTATCCAAGGGGGGACCCTGGGGGTCCTAGGGTCCCCCCTGGAGCAAAAAAAAAATTTTTTTTTTACTCGAAAAAAATTGAAAACACTTTGAGGGCCCTTTTCACCACTTACATTTTTTTTACATAATGAAAAGTATCAATTACATTTCTAGGGACCCTTTTAGGACTATCAGAGGACCCCTTTAGGCCAACGAGGGACCTTGTAGAGTAAATTAAGGGCCCTTTACAACGAACAGGACCTTCTCAGGCACACAGAGGGCCCTCTCAGACACACAGAGGGCCCTCTCAGGCACTCAGAGGGCCCTCTCAGGCACTCAGAGGGAGGGCCCTCTCAGACACACAGAGGGCCCTCTCAGGCACTCAGAGGGCCCTCTCAGGCACTCAGAGGGCCCTCTCAGGCACTCAGAGGGCCCTCTCAGGCACTCAGAGGGCCCTCTCAGGCACTCAGAGGGCCCTCTCAAGCACTCAGAGGGCCCTCTCAGGCCCGAGGGCCCTCTCAGACATCTTAAAGAGGTCGAAAAGAGCCCTCTGAGCTCAAAGAGGACCCTCTGAGATCAAAAAGGGCCCTCGGAGGCAACAGAGGGCCCTACAATGCAACAATAGAGCCCCCTGTGGTCACCAAAGGGCCCTCTGAGGCGAATAGGGGTCCTTTTAGGCAAACAGAGGGCCCTTTGAGGCAAACAGAGGGCCCTCTAAAGTGGCGAATAAAGGGACCCTCTGAGACGAAAGGGGGCCAGAGCCCAGAGAGCCCTCTCAGGCACTCAGAGGGCCCTCTCAGACACTCAGAGGGCCCTCTCAGACACTCAGAGGGCCCTCCCAAGCACTCAGAGGGCCCTCTCAGGCACTCAGAGGGCCCTCTCAGGCACTCAGAGGGCCCTCTCAGGCACTCAGAGGGCCCTCTCAGGCACTCAGAGGGCCCTCTCAAGCACTCAGAGGGCCCTCTCAGACATCTCGAATAGGTCGAAAAGAGCCCTCTGAGGTCAAAGAGGGTCCTCTGAGATAAAAAGGGCCCTCGGAGGCAACAGAGGGCCCTCCAATGCAACAATAGAGCCCCCTGTGGTTACCAAAGGGCCCTCTGAGGCGAATACGGGGTCCTTTTAGGCAAACGGAGGGCCCTTTGAGGCAAACAGAGGGCCCTCTAAAGGGGCGAATAAAGGGACCCTCTGAGACGAACGGGGGCCATAGCCCAGAGGGCCCTCTCAGGCACTCAGAGGGCCCTCTCAGACACTCAGAGGGCCCTCTAAGGCACTCAGAGGGCCCTCTCAGGTACACAGAGGGCCCTATCAGGCACACAGAGGGCCCTCTCAGGCTCACAGAGGGCCCTCTCAGGCACACATAGGGCCCCCTCAGACACACAGAGGGCCCTCTCAGGTACACATATGGTCCTCTGAGACACACAGAGGGCCCTCTCAGGTACACAGAGGGGCCTCTCAGGCTCACAGAGGGCCCTCTCAGGCACACATAGGGCCCCCTCAGGCACACAGAGGGCCCTTCAGGCAAACAGAGGGCCCCCTGAGGCAAACAGAGGGCCCTCTCAGGTACACAGAGGGCGCTTTCAGGCACACAGAGGGCCCTCTAAAACACACGGAGGGCCCTCTCAGGTACACAGAGGGCCCTTTCAGGCACATAGAGGGCCCTCTCAAACACACAGAGGGCCCTCTCAGGCACACAGGAGGCCCTCTCAGGCACACAAGGCCCTCTGAGACACACAAAGGGCCCTCTCAGACACACAGAGGGCCCTCTCAGGTACACATATGGTCCTCTGAGACACACAGAGGGCCCTCTCAGCCACACAGAGGACCCTCTCAGGTACACATAGGGCCCCCTCAGGCACACAGAGGGCCCTCTCAGGCAAACTACACAGAGGGCCCTTTCAGGCACACAGAGGGCCCTCTCAAACACACAGAGGGCCCTCTCAGGTACTCAGGGGGCCCTCCCAGGCACACAAAAGGTCCGCTAAGACCAGCAGAGGGCCTGTTAAGACGAACAGAAGGGCCTCTGAGGTACGAGGGTCAATTTCAGGCCACAAGGTATCCTATGAGGCCACCAGACGGCCCTCTTAGATTAAAGATGGTCCCTGGAGGTCACCAGAGGGCCCTCTGAGGTGAACAAAGGGCCCTCACAGCCACCTCAAAGAGGGCCCTCTGAGATCGAAGATATCAAAGAGATCAAAGAGGGCCCTCTAAGGCGAATGGAGGGCCTTCAAAGGCCACAAAGTGCCCTCTCAGGCCACTGGAGGGCCTTCTGAGGTGATATGATGCTATGTCAGACCACCATGAGCCCTATGAGGTCATCAGGCCCTCTGAGATCAAAGAGGGTCCTTGGAAGTCATCGGAGGACCCCTTGAGGCCCCTTGAGGCGAACAAAGGCCAGAGGGCCCCCCTTAGACACCACAAAGAAGTAAAAAAGATCCCTCTGAGTTCAAAGACAGCTCTCTGAGATGTAATAAGGCCATTTGAGGCCTCTGAGGGCCCTCTGATGCCACAGAGAGGCGCCCGCTGATACCAAAATAGGGTCCTCTGAAGTCTGAAGCCACCAGAGGGCCCTCTGAGGCGAATAGCGGGTCCTCACATCCACTTCAAAGAGGGCCCTCTGAAAATCAACTGGCCCTCGGAGTCAGTGTCCCAAAATTGTATTTTGGCTTGGGTGTCAGAGGGGAAAATAGGTCACCCAAAAGGGGGATAAGAGTGGACAATTGTCAGTCACAGGGCAGCCGGAGCCCTCTGAGAAGGTCACTTGAGCCTTACAACAGAGGGCCCTCTGAGGTGATATGAAGGCTATGTCAGGCCACTATGGGCTCTATGAGGTCAGCAGGCACTCTGAGGAAAAGACTGGCCCTCTGAGGGGAACAGAGGGCCCTTTAGAACAATCAGAGGACTTTTTAGGCCAACTAGGGGCCTTAAGAGGTCAACAAAGGGCTCTTTGGGACACAAACAGGGCCTCTCAGGCCACCAGGGGCCTCATGTACTAGACAAACATACGGCCATCTGAAGTAAAAGAGGACCTTTTGAGGTAAACAAGGGCCCCTGGAGAGAAAACAAAGGGCCCTTTCAGGTACCTAGAAGGTCCATGGAGGCCACTAGAGTGCCCTTTGAGGCCAGTGATGGTCTGCAGAGGCCCTCAGAGGGTCCCTCTGAGGGTAACAGAGGGTCCTTAAGACGACCAGAGGCCCCCCTTGAAAATGCAGGTGTCACAAGGTCCGGTTTGCATCAAAGGTCAGGTAGCTATGCCCAGTTTTGGCTCTCTGTTGCCGACGTGTCCCGAGCTGTCGCAAAAAAAACGATGTGGTGGCACCCACCCTCCCACTCGGCCGGCCAGGGTCCTTCTAACCAGAGATGCGGAGCCGTGGAAATTTCAG